ATAATATTTTCTTGAACTTAATGCATCTTGTCGGCCACTTTTTGGCAGCATGGCTTTCTGTATCCTATCACAACTTTTTGGATTTTGGCGGTATAACTTGTTGTCACTTGTTGGCAGTAATTATAGCATAACTCGCAACCTTTTTGGCAGTATCACACAACTCACCTGGAACAGATGCTGGCACATTAGGCACTGGATGCTTGCCTTCATCCGCTTCCTTCCCCCAAGGCGATATGGTTCAGTTGGCGTCCACCGGCGCTTTTGGCGGCGTCAGCGGTCTCAACAGTGGCATCCAGATCTCGCCCCACATGGGCGGCGGGGGTCTGTTCGGGTGCCTGGGACCGGTGGAGAAGGACGTCCCAGTCCGATCTGTTTGGGACTGGGCTTTGCACGGCCGATCAGGTTCGGGTGGTCCCCGGGGGGGTCAATGGATCGGCACACAAATGGATTGGGTCCCATTAGTTGTGCCTGAAATTGTTTTGACCCGGCTCCCCTGGTCGAAGACTCGAAGGTGGTGAGATGGAAATGGATCAGATCCGTGCTCGTTGGGAGAAGATGTTTGGGTAATTATAGCCCAGACACTCCATGGATGTATGGAATATATATATATATATAGCTACATTGACCCCGCTAAACCACCCCAACTCATCGGCAGTCCTATGGCAGTCCCAGACGGGTCGTGTGTGGGTAGGGTTTTCAGGCCGCAAGCCAGGCGCGTGTTGGTAGATGATCCACGATTTGTGGAAGGCCAACCGAAGCATCCACTGGGCCCTTTGGTCATGGGATATACCCAAGGTTGGGGCCAAACAGTTTGGAGGCCGCACGAAGACGCGACTAGATCGGGGTCGCCTTCGGAGGTCATACAGGAGGTTGTTTCATCATGCGGTGGAGGATGTTGGATGCTTTTCCAAGCACTTCTCTATTGAACCGGAATTCCAGGTGTTGCTATGAACTGGCAGAAACCAAGAAATAGACTAGCTGGTGCGAGCCGCAGGAAACCGGCTGAGGGTTGGGGTATGTATCCATCATACTGTATTCCAATTTCAACAGGGAGCTGCTCAGAGGGACCACGAAAGTTCCCGTTTACCACTTGCTTGTAGATGTCCACATGCAGGACCAAGTTCATTATCCTGATGAAATGGCGAACCAGCTATTATATGATAGCTTTCATAACGAAAGGGGAATTACAATTGGCTTCAAGACGTACGTAGGAAGTCCAGCTTCAGACAGATTCTACAAGCATCCAAACCTCCTCTCGGGTTGTTTCCAATCCAGTCCAAACATGCTAAGACCTGCTATCACACATTCCTAGGCTTCGTCTCCTTGTCCACTCACACTTGTCCCCTTCAGTTCTGGCAACATGCATCCGACCTGTATGAGATGCATCTCCTGCATTCTATATTGACACATTGATGCAGGAAGCCCTTCTCAAAACATGCTAGGCGTGTCCATGCCTGGGCCCTGGCGACGTTCAGTGAATGTGACGGGAATGCCCAAAGAATCATGAAATGCAACATGTTAAGGTAAAGATCTGACATAGAGCTTGGACCTAGACAATTTCAACGTATTTCAACCTATTGTTTTGAGATCACTTTCCTGAGGCGTAGTTCAGAACCTTCTCTAAGTCGTGGGACCTAGTTTCCACATCGTATGCACCATTAAAAGGCAAATCATAGAGTCAACTGATCTCCATTTCATTGAGCACGGTTCACACCAGGATGATCAACCTCCATTCGACCATACTCGACCCATCAAAGGACCCCACAAAAGGGAAGAAGGACATCCGAAAAGGGATCAGCAATATGAGCAATGGACACAATGCGTGTGTCTTCTGGCAAGAGAAGCAATGTTTGGAAATTCAGGTGTTGATGTCCAGCTATGGAAATTCGTGTCTGGGGTCGTTCTTCTTCACGTTGGGATGATGGCAGGTGTGAGTTACGCACCAGCTCCGTCTACTGTCCCATCTCCTTCGCCAAGTTCGCTGAAGCTCTCGACTGAAACTCGCTTCCCGACCGTTTCGCGCGTGCCCAAGGGCATCGCCGCCCTCTGTGCCCTTCGGAGCCTTCGATTTCGGTCTCTTTGGTGGCAGCAGCTTGGAGCCGGGCGAAGCGGGCAAGGCCGGGGGCGTTTCGCCGGCTAAGCAGGGAACGTGGTGGAAGTGGTGGATCCTGCCTGGTGTTGTGCTGCGTGACGCCCTCCGGGAGTGGCGTCATGCGCTTTGGAACCCACTGGCGCGCGCGCTGGACGGGTATGTGACATGGATGTGTGGGACGGTTCGGTGCACTTTGCACCATTTGGACCGGCTGGGCCAGGTATGCGCGGCTGGATCCACTGGGTCATGGGGTCTGGGGTGGAATTCTCCCTGTGGTGCCAAAGGAATTCCTTCTGAATTGGGAAAAGGTATCCAGAAGGTACTCAAGTTCCGCACGTCCCAAAAGTACCTGGTACTATTCGGATGTTCCATTATGAGTTCTACCTATCGTTTATTCAACCCTGCACGGAAGAATCCAATGCCATTCACGTACCACACGGAAGATTCCCCTTTGTCTTCCTGCCACTCACGGTACCTCGGCTGTCCCGTCGCCGCCTTCAGAGCACCGTGCGGGGGGGTCAGGTGACGAACGTGAACTTCAACCGCGGGCAAGTGCACGCATCTCGGCCGGGTTTTGGGGCCGGACCCTGAACTTGGGCCCCTGGCCGCCCTCTCGAAGGATTGGGACAGGGGTGGGTGCCAGGGGTCTGTTCAACCTGAGCTCGATGGCTTCACGGCTCCAAGAGCCCCTACTGCTCGGGGGAAAGGTCTCATTCCCGTTGGACCGGAGCAAGCGACGGCGAGCCACGAACGGCGTGGGGGGACTTCTGCGGAGCACAGGAACTCTGCGTCGAGCCGTGCAGCCCTGGTGCGACGCACGGATGTCGCTTCCTTAAAGCACCCGACGCTCTATCGAGCTATACAATGAGAATGCGAGCTGCGAGACTTGTGCTTGAGCTCAAGATACAGGTTTAGCCTTCCAGATTGGTGAATGGATGTGTACTTTAAGACTTTTTAGTCCCCTTCCAAATAGAGTTGCCGAGTTCCCTTTGTCTCGCGGCGAAAGGAAGATTCTGACCCTATCATGATCATGACTGGTATTTTGAAGCTTCACTTCACCTCGCTCCGCTGGACGCTTCCTGTGCTTCACCACACTCCGGGGAACCCGACGATCGAGATCTCGAGTTCTCAGGTCGAAGGGAAGAAGGGCGGCCGCTGGTATACAGAGGATGAAGTGATGAAAGTCGACCCGAAAGCCTTGGGTTTGGCTGCGTGGCAGCAGTACTTGGTGCACCACGTGGAAACGCCACGCTGCGCGTTTTGCGCGTACGTTTGAACAGCGAAAACGCTGCGCCGAACGCCGAAGCTTCCATGGCGCCGACGGCGGCGAAGTCGACGGCGGCGAACTCGATGAGTTGGGGGGAAGGGCCATGAGTGGGGAGGTTCCAAAAGATGTGAAAAAGCAGGGCTTTTCGGTGGCTTTGAGCATCCTGGTCATTCTTTTGGTGAACGTCGTGACGATGTTCAGGAGAACCTCCCTGCCGAGAAGGCAACCCTTCCGCTGTGACAGCTTGGATCGCAGAGTTTCACCATCAATGTGGAGTCCAGAATTCAACCCAGGCACCTCCGCTCCCAACGGCGCCATTTTTCTTCGAGTTTCGTTGTTTTGCTGAGTAACCCAAGTTGGACAAACAACGGTTTAACCTGGTCAAAGCATGGGTTCCTCATAGTTCCTGCAATTGTTCCGATGCGTTGTTCATTCCTTTCAGCAAAAACACCCCGGAGAAAAGAACTGGCCGAACTGAACGTCACCTCCCCTACCTGCGCGGGACCCGGCACATGACCTCAGCTGAAGCTGCTGAGGTCCCTCTTACCGACTCGGAATGGGCTGGCTTGCCCTCGACACGGTCCAACTATGTGACCTTCTCTCAGCAGCTGCCGAACCCCCTGCTGGAAGGTGAGGGACCGCAGCCTCCGAAGGGTCGCCGCACGTGGGGCTCCGAGGTTGCTGATGGCAGCGGAATGCAGCGGATGGCAGCAGGGGGGCTGTGGAACTGACACAATGACATCTTAGATCTGGATCCCTTTTAAATCCTTTTTGACGTTTGGGGATGTCCCGGTTTTTCCACGTGTTCTAATCTTCTAAGATTGGGCACGGGTCGTGAATGTTCTGGACACCTGCAGAGTGGTTGCACTGGATGCCCCAAGACTTCCTGGTGTGTTAGGTCGGGTGCTTGGTCCAAGCCAGCTGGGGGTGCTAGGCGGTGCTAGGTCAACGTGAACGCTTGCGCGCTTCGAAGGCGGTCGTTTTCAGAGCGCTTCGTGGCCTTCCTTTTCCTCCGCCCCGGAAGCCGTTGAACCGAACCGGCGGCGGAGTCGATGCGCCTCCGTGTCCGCGTCCGCGTGCGCGCGGCACACGCGGACGCGCCGATGCGCGTCCTCGATGAGGTGGCTGGATGGGGAAAGGCCGAGCGGAGAAGGCGGAGGAGAGCAGTGGTGCAGAGGTGGACTTGAACTTTGATGTGGTGCAGATGGGCTTCATGTCCAGCTATGTGGCTATGCGGCATATAGCTGATAGCTCTTCAACTTGGAGTTTGTTGATGAGTTGATATAAATCTTGGCCCTGAAAATCGCACTGCAGGATCGAGATTCGAGGCCTGAGGAGCACCATGTGGACCCCCATTCTGATGCCTTCGTTGACGTTCTCCCCAACCAGACGCTGTTCCACTAACGGGTCACAATATGATCCTGGGTTACAGTTCTACCGTCAGTATGGATCATCATCAGTCTTCTGTCATTTGACGATGTGTATCGATGTGTGCTTTTTTTCACCCAATTTGCATCGATTTCCAACCATTTCCTTCGGCGCATCGAATGAAGGCCATCCAACCCAAGGCACCTGGCAGGACTCCGGGGCCAAAAGCTCCGAACCGGTCCAGGTCGACCGGTTCGGGCGCAGCGGTCGACCGCGCTGAGGTCGATGCAAAGGTCTTCTACGCCGAAGCGGGCCTCGAAATCCGCGGCCACTGGCGCGCGGCCGACGGCAGCGTGGGAAGCGTGGTGGGGACCAAAGCACTGGCGGGACTGGCTTTAGGAGGCAAGAGGGGGGATGTACGGGGAGTGTGAGGGAGAAGCGGCCAAAGTGGGAGAGAATCAGACATTCAGAGTTAGCACCTGACAGACACTTCGAGTTTAGAGGCGGACGGTTGCAGCACTTGTTGAAGACCGCAGGTGGTAGCCTGGAAGGTGAGAAAACATGTCCGTGTGGGAGGTACAAGGTTGTCGCTAGAAGCCAATTTCGCTCACGCCCAAAATTCATGTGTCAAGTGAGGACCTAAGTTGCATGGAGAGTTTGTGAAGACACATGGGTCAAATGGGGTCTTAAGTCGTTTTTACCATAAATTTTGACAAGGCACACGGCGAGAATGATAGGAATTGTTTGGCAGACACGACAGCTTTGAGAGATGTTCGTCGGGGTTCGAGAAATCGAAGTCATTCCCTGCGCATGGAGGTCCTATCGCTTTGTGGGATTGGTCAGTGGGTGTGTCGACGGTAGCTTCTTAGCTATTATAAGGTGTCTTGCTACTAGTAGCTAGTAGCTTCTCGTTACTGAAACAATTGAGACCTCCACAAGACCAAACACTTACTTACTGTATCTTACTGTAACCATCGAACCTGCTTATTACTAGTTGAAAGGATGAAATGGATGAACATACAAACCCCTTTCAATCTGTGGATCCCTCCTGATTGAATGCAAAGCGCCAAACTTGGCCAGTAGGCGTCCTTGGCTCGCTCCTCAATGGACACAAAATGCTAGGCCTTTGGCATTTGGAACTTCAGACAGGGGCTGAGTCCATGCAACATGCCTGGAATTGCTGGCGCCTCGGCCACGCAAGATCGGCATATGCTCGACTGCTTTCAACAGTCCTTTTCGCAGATTGGATGATCGATTCGAAGAAAACATGGCAAGTTGTGCCCCCACTTAAGTGAAGATCCAGCTGGAGCGGTACGTCAGAGACGGCATGCTGCAAGGGGGTCGCACGATCCTGGGTGTATAGACGGCATCGAGAACTGTCCAGGCCTCACTTGGTGGGAGACACATATCGGATTCTCACCACTAGACTTTGGGAACCGCGCTGGCCTGTTTAATGAGAGGCCTCTGACAATCATAGAAATGATCGTCTACCAGGAATCACAGGTCGGGGTGCTTTGGCTCGTCCCATCCAGTGAGTGGATGTGACAGGGGCACCCGAACTTCCTCCCAACTCGCTCGGCACCCGTCGAACGTGACTCCTGGTACCTAGCACTTCCGCCCAATGGAGATTCATTGGCGAGACTTCCATTTGTTTGCGGGATGTTCGGGACGTACGATTCCCTCAAGGCCGGGTGTTGCCGAACTCTCGCAGCAGTTGGTCGGACCCGCCTGGAAACCACAACCAGAAACAAGTGGATGTTGTTAAAGGATCTCAATCCGTATTATACTGGAACATACCTGGACCTTCAAGGGGTGTCCAATGGAGGTCCCTTAGTAGTGGGCTGGGGCTTCCATTGGAGACCCCGGCATGAAGGTGGTACATGGACCAACCATTTGTTTCTGGCTGGGACTCGGTTTCCGAGTGCTTCAGACATATCAGACATTCAGTGCCTTTCTGCTACCTGTCTGCGACGAAGCGCACGATGGTTCGCTCGGATGGTTCGCTGGGAGTCATGGACGGTGTGTGGGGCCGTTCGAGCAACTTCGGCCGACCAACAGTGAGACGCCCCTTCATTGGTTCTGAGACCGCAACCTCGGTAGACTGGTCTCAGACATTCTAAGACTCCCGTTTCCCCCAACTTTCCCAAACTCAAACGCCCCAGGAAAGTCGGGTTTTGTGACTAGTTCCGGTCTCCCGCCCGGCCCAGTCTCCCGCCCTATGGCCCTGTCTCCCATCTTTCTATACAAGAAAAACCAAACGAAACGACACGCCCACTGTATCCCCCTGTCGAATTCCAGGTTCTCCAGCTTCCCGCCCAGCAGCGGCAGCAACACCTCCACCATCCAGATCAGCGGCGCCGCGCTGGCCGGACCGCTGCTGCAGGAGGGCTCGGCGCCGGAGAATGCACCGCCACCGCTGCTGATCAGTGGAGTGCCTTGGGCGAATCGCTCGGGTCCTCCAGCCGGCTGGAGTCAAACAGCTTGGACCACAGCGAGCTTTGCAACGGTCTGGAAAGTTGGAGAGGTCAAGGATTGCGAGGTGATGTGTTTGGAGAACTGTCATGAGATGTTCTGAGCTATATACCCTATAGGGATCCAAGTACGTTCTCAGAAGGTGATTGGAGACACTGTTATGTAGGTTTGGAGGGTCCAAGTACCTTCTGAGAAGGTACTTGGATCTCTAGGGTATGTATTTGCATTGTTTGCTAACTTCTTTCTCTTCCAGGTTGTGACACGCACATATAATTATGAAGAATCTTTGGGACCACGCTCTGATACATTTTTTTATGTAATCCAGTGTTCTCCTGGGACGGAGAAAGATCATCCGGTCGCCTTCGCTCCCCCCGCCCAGGAGATGACGGGTAAAGGCGGCGTGTCCTTTACAATGTCAGCCTCACCAGAGGATTTGCCCAAACTGGAAGCACTTGGAGCTAAGAACTGGTGACTTGGAGGGAAGGTGGGTTGGAGAGGGTGGAGAGTGAGTTGGGCATGGGATATTCCGAAAGGAACTGGCAACTTGGAGAACTCTTTCTTCCAAACATTTGCAATGAATGCTAGAAGAATTCATTGACAACACCACTCGCGGAAAAAAACACGGCTATCCAGCAGTTATTCTTCAGGCTCGTCAAATTGAGTTGAACCCTTCACTTTTCCGATGACTCCCAGGGCCGTCAACTTCCGGCATGCCGCATGCCTACCACGCACAGCGCCTCAGCACATCCATCGATATCCCATTTATCCCATGCTTCGATCCATTCCACTAAGACCCTGTTAACGAACCTCATCGCATCCTCGCATCGAGGCGTTACACACTCTCTACAAAGCCATCCCCCCAACCAACACCATATATGCTTACCCCCCCCAACGGCCCAACCCCACCATGACACGCGCAGTACCGCGCACCGCTCGCCCGAGGATCGGTTCCACCTGGGAGGGCGACCTGGGCACTGATCGTTGGCTCCGGGGCGCCTGGCGCGTGGGCTCCGAGCGCAGCGGGCGCTGGCGCGCGCGGCACATCGGGCGCCAGGCGGTGAACCAGACCTTGAAGCCCATGGTGGATGCGGGCGCCGAGTGGCTGGGAGCTGAAGTGAGAGAGGAGAGGAAACCCAGCTGAAGCCCCACGAGTCCCAATGAATTACTGGGACTGGTGGTGACTGCTGATCAGTTGGCCAGCAGTCCTATGGCAGTCCCATGGAGTGTCTGAGAGAGATATGGTGGGCGGAGAAGACGTATAGATAGATCGAAATATATACTTATTGTAATTACGTTGATCATGGTGGAGAAGGAGTATTTCAGTATTTTTGTATATTTTTGTTGAGGATGTGACGCAAATTCAATTGTTGTTTTTTGGGGGGTTCAGCAAAGTCAGATTTATAAAGGTCACCGAGTCACCAACATGCCTTCAATATCCTTGCGGTTCAATGTAACGGCTACATGGATGTGAAACCAAATTGGGAGGGGTGCCTTTCTGCAAGAGTTCGACCAGTTCAAACCTGGGCATCATTTTTCTGAAAGCCAGTGTTGCAAGGAGCAGGTCGCTCAGAGTTCCCAATGATTTTGCTTTTGGCGAACCTGCATGTTCCCCTCTGTTTGGGAGACCTATGATAGATACTATAGAATACTACATGATACGTCATGAAAATGATGAGTTCTGAGTGCTTCGGAGCCTCTGTTCGGAGCTTCGGAGCTTCCGAACCACCGAACCTGGCGCTGAACGCGCCGAACCTCGAGCTACCCCGCGGACACCGAGGTGGGAGCCTAAGAGGTGTGAGATCCGCAGTGCCACGGTGGAGGCGAAGACGGGCGTCTTGAAGAAGGGCATGAAGGTGAAGCTTTCCAAGGCGCGGTCTGCGTGCTTGATGTGGTTTAGTGGTTGATGCGCGGGGTGCGGTGGATGCGTGGTTCATTGATGCGCCGATGGACAGCTTCATGAAGAGTCCGTGGGCGAAGGAGCAGAATAGAGGGTCAGATGTGTCAGTTGGACCGTCATGTTGGGGACGGACAGATCCCATTATCATCTTTGGGGGGTCGTTGTTGTTTCTTTTCACCCCCCCCCACACCCGCACTAAACTTTGCACGCGTCACAGTGCTGAGAGCCGAATGACAAGTGGAGGCCAGAGGTTTACCTGATCATCCTCTCTAAGTTGAGACAAAGCTGAGACAAACGCGCTTCACGTGACCAACCAGAGCCACGTTGAAAGGAGTCCGTCTCATTGTTTTCATAGCTGTTTGTCACCAACCAAAATGAATATCATCCCAAACTTGGAAAACACATTGAAAACACTCTCCTGGCCTCACACAAGGGAATCGCACATCAGAGCGTAACCGGCCAAGGGCAAGTGAAGCCCAGGTCGCTTGAGGAACCAACGATGAGTAATCGGCCAAGACTTGGATGATACTTGCACCCTCCAACAGGTCACAAATTGAGACCTCCAACAGGGACTGACAAATCTCTAAAGGAGACCTGGCAGTGAGGGTGCTGGCATACTGAGAATTCTTCACCTCAATTTGCCACGCCCATCTATGTATAGGTCTATTGATTGCTATGCCCCAATTTCAGAGCTCCTTCAGAGAGGGTAGATTCACTCAAATTTGGTTTGGAATGGCTGTTTGCTCAAGAACTATCGTCTTCGTGTAGAGAATCCAAACAATCAACCATAATTATAAGATATCAAGCTTCATGTGGTGCTTCGTTTGGACATCCCAGCAAAGCAACGCACCACTCCACAGCTTGGAAGTCTCTGTTCTTCACCCTGCAGACCTTTTCAGGTCTACAAATCCTGCAGCGATGCCCAGCCCCTTGGGCTTCCACCGCCGAGTCCACACGGACAAAACACGCTTTCCAGGGTGGGTGTTTCATCAAGCGGTTGGGAGCGGTGCCACGGTGTGGTTACAACGAGAAAAGAATGAGGTGCATGTGAAACCACCATTGAGATACGTCAGATGTGTCGACGAGATGGGGCGACGCTTTTGAGACAAAGCTTTTGGATGAGCAGCGCGCAAGTGCGCGATCGGCAGGGGAGCTGCTAGTAGCTGCTAACAATAGTGGTTTGCAGCCCACTGGAGAGGTGTGCAGCTTGGGATGGTCATTTCTAGGCGTGAGGAACTCTTAGACCAGTCACATGTCGGGGTGCCGAGCGAGTTTGGAGGACATCGGGGTGCCCCGAACACACATCCACAGCCACTGGATGGGACGAGCCAAACTCGACCTGTAACTCCTAGGAGCTCATTTTGATCAAGTTTGCCTATACTTCTATAGTGTTCTATATCCCAGACACGACCTGTCTGGGACTGCCATGTCGGACTGCCGATCAAGCCAGACCCCCCTTGCCACCACCACCCCTGGCCTTGTCCCTTCTTCGGGCCGTGTTTGAGATCCGTACCGCCCCGGTCACCGGGTCGTTCTCCGCAAGCCTCACGGAGTCGTGGTGGTTCCGAACACCTCGTGTGGTCATGCAGATCCGGAGTGAACGGACTACCAGCTGCTTCCCTTCGATCTGGCTGGGGACCCTACAATTGGACGGGCCCCTATCCATGTTTTACGTCACCAGCCAGAACACCCACTGTGTATGTGATTTGTGTCGGACCCGTTTGTTCGGCACCTGACTGTCATGGCCGAGGTTCGGCCCCTTGTGCCTTGGCCTTTTTCTGACGGACGTCGGCGACCTGGCGACGGTCGGTGGACGGTGCCGCGAACGCTTGGCCATATATGGTCTCCGTCTGCTGCTCTGTTTTTGTTGAATCACCAAGTTTCAGGCTGGTCGGAATTGGAGTTTGGTGGGAATGACGATGGAATTACTGGTTCCTTCACCTCTGTCGGAGACGTGCTTGAAACGATCTGGCCCACGACCCGTGATGACACGCCCACGCATCAGGAAGGAGGGCATGACAGGCGTGGTGGTGCAGGAGAATCAAGGAGTCAACGCGGGGAGTCGACTTTGTTGTTTGCGAAGAAGAACGACAACAACAACAACAACAACAACAACAACTACTACTACTACTACTGAGCGTAGACCGTGTCAGAAAGCAGGTCCGCGAGTCAGGCCAACACGAGTCAGAAAACACAGCGGCTCGAGTCAGAAAGCACGGAGTCGCGAGTCAGAAAGCACGCAGGCGCGAGTCAGAAAACACGTAGGCGCGAGTCAGAGAGCATATCTCTATGCGAGTCACCCAACTTGTTCTCGAGTCAGCCAAGCTTGACATCCCGCCGGCCTACATGCGCCGAGCCACCGGCCGACTCAGGCCAGCAAAACCCGACACACGAACCTTATTTTGCTAAGTTAGGATTTGCCGTCACTCGGAAAGCTCCGCGC